TGATAAAAATACCATTTGTTTTTATCAAAATGTCAAGTATTCTTGATTATCAGTTTGATGGTCATAGATGTGTCGTGTGGCCTAATAAGAAATTCAATGGGCCTATAAGGCCCAATATGCATGTAATGAGTATAAGAGACCCAATAAGCATGTAATGAGTATATAAAGCCTGATAAATGTGTAAATGAGTATACTAGGCCCAATATGCATGTAAATGGGTATTTTAGGCCCAATAAACTTGTAAATGGGTATTTGCGGACCATTTTGATAAAAATGATATTTTCGGCTCATTTTTTATAGAAATGACAAATTAAGTCCATAAAGGCCAAAATTTACATTTTAGGCCCATGAAACCGTAAATTTCCAAATAAGGCCCATTTTTATGAAAAATGACATCTTTGGTCCATTTAGCCTAGGATTTACACTTTAGGCCCATTTTAACCATATATTTTCGTTTAAGGTCCTCCTTTTTATGAAAATTACACTTTTAGGCCCACAAAATTGTTTATGTATAAATAAGGCCCATAAAACCGTATGTTGATAAATAAAGCCCAATAAAACTATAAGTTGACAATTAAGGCCCAATAAACATGTAAATGACTCCAAAAGTCCATCTTGTTTATCTTTAGTGTCATAAATGGTCCTTTTATGTACATTCTTTGGATTTCTAGTAACCTTTACATGTTTAATCTTTTCAACATAATACAAAGTTACTTCTAAGAGTTTGCATACAAATATCACCAATATTTGGAAGATATTTCGAAGTTTATGAGTGTGTAGCAAGCTTTCATGACATATTCACACCATATAACATGAAAATACACACATACATGCATAAATACTTAGATCTAACACATAACCAACTTGTATTCTCCCCGAAAACATAGTAAAACCCAAAAACAAGGGGGTATAAAGCTCACCTTGATGTTAACTGAGTTTTGAAGAGAAGATTGACGGAAAATTCGGCCTTAGCTAACTCCCTTAGGAAGAGTTTCGAACTTGATGGTGCTAATTGGTGCTAAGAAGCTAGAATACGACATGAAGTCATGTGAGGGAAGAGTTCTTTAGTGAAGTATGGAAACAAGTCATTTTGAGAGTGATAATACTTACCTAGTGGTGGTCTTTGATGAAGAATACTTGAAGCACACACACACAAACCACGATTTTAGATAGGAAAAGGAAAGATTGCTTTGTGTTCTTGAGGGAGATGTGAGAGGATTTTTAGTGGGTTTGAAGTGGAAAAATGAGGGTGATGGTAGGTGCTCTCGGCTGAGAATAAGAGGAAGAGAGGGAAAGGATTTGCCTTTATATATGGGGGGTAATCTTGCATACCTAGATACATTGTCTTCCATGTAATTATGAGGTGTCACTTACTCATTAATCCTTCATTAGTCTTTTTTTTTTTTATCAAACTCGAGAATAGGAAAGGGAAGAAAGAAAAGAATAAATATTGGGCTTGTTTTGAAATGCAACCAAGAATACTTTAGCATAATAGGGATTTTTCGATCCATGTGGGCCCACATATAAGGTTACGGCCAAAAAGGGGAAAAAAAAGATGGGCTTTCGGCTCAATGAGATTAAATAAGTGATTTTCGGCCCAATAAGGCCCATGAAGAGTGTTATGGCCCAAAAGAACCAAGTTGATGGATTATTGGCCCATTAGGCCCAATAAGAGAATCTTGGTCCAATAAGAGGTTTGAATCGGGAAGTTAGGGTTTCAAGCTCAAGGTTGGGTGAATTTAGTGTATTGAATTAGGTTTAGAGCTTACACAAGTGAGTTTTGATTCGAATTGTCGTTTTTAAATGAATAACTTGTATAATATTATACTTAGGGTTACAAGATACATTAGAAGTTAATTACACATGGACAGAATTTCCTAGCCTAAAATGCTAGTTGTGACAGCCCTCCACTCGACGAGTTATAGGCGACCAACTTGTCGAGTCCCTCTGTCAAAATAAATAAATAAATAAGTTAAATGCGTACCAAGAACTAGGCGTCATGAGTATATTTCTTATAATGGGTTCTATTTATTTTGTTTCTTAGCATAACATGTCGAATTCTAAATGTATTTATAACGGGTTTTTGCAAACAATCTGTCTTGGAAGTTTCAACCTGACGCTTGATTTCAACCTTATTTATTATTTTTACTCAATGGCATTATCAACTTGTTAAGAATTTATATTTTGTTTCATATTATTTTAATAGTTTTTATGTATATGCAAATGGAGGCCATCGAATTTAAAACGCTAGATTGTTGTTTGCATCTTTCACTTAAAATTTCATGGGGTTCAGTTTGTTTTAATGGCCTTTTCAAACAAGAATTTATATTTTGTTTCATATTATTGTAATTGTTTTTATGTATATGCAATGAAGGCCAACGAATTTAAAAGGCTAGATTGTTGTTCTTTTCATCTTTCTTTTAAGATTTCATGGGGTTCAGTTTGTTTTAAAGGCCCTTTCAAACAACACTCCAATGAGAATATGTCACTATTGGATTTGGACTTTGGAGCCAAATTCAAAATCTAAACTTTCAACATGAAGGTGTCGAAAAAAAATATTTCATATGTTGTGCCTCCTTACAAGGCTAATGCCCAAATGACATTTTTAGCCCTTAGCAAGCATGTTGATACTGTCAGTACCGAAGACTCTGACTTTTTTTTTTTTTGTGTTTTTAGTGAGGATGATAAGGGCATTCATGTCTTTTGCAGAATCATTGCCTAATTGCCTCTTAGCATTCTTATGTTTCTACCGACATTTTTTTCTATTTTCCATTTGTGATATTCCATTGAAAGATTGCATATTTGCATGATGTGTTTTGTCATTTGATGAGAAGTTAACTAATGATGAGTTATTGTACAAAAACAGATATAAGATTCCCCTGCAAAAGCAACATTACTGCAGACCATTTCTTTTTTGTGGGGTTAGCGAAAGCAGCTCTCACTAGCAACGCATTTGGTGCAACCGTTAAATGATTCATAAACGATTTTTGCTATATCTTTAGTATTTACATATTAGTTGGCAAATAAATTAAATGTTTTCAGAAATGACAGAATTATGAGGGTAAAGGATTCTTTTGTATCATTCTAGCATCCTTTTTTTCCTTTTTGAAAGTGTATTGATTTTTTAATCGTTTTGAGGTGATTAAGCATTTGAAGTTCAATGGAATCGTTGTTTCACCTCTCTATGAAGAATCTTTTAGGAGGGCAATATTGAATTTATAGCTTGTCTGTTTTATGCAAGATATGATCTTTGTTATGCTCTGTTTTTGGTGGGAAAGAGAAAGACAAGATTGAAATTCCAGGATAGTTTTGTATTTATTTTGTATTATATAAGGATATAATGTGCAGACTACTAATCTGTTAATTACTTTGGTTAATATCATTTTTTTGTTATGGCCTTTGTAAAAGTTTGAGTTTTGTTTTATTGGATTAAAAGAAAAGATATATGTGCATTTCTTATATTGGTAAGTTTTCTTCTATACAACAAGGTTGAAAATGCAATTGTCTACCAAAATTATATTCGTTAAGCAACTGTATGTTTTATATTAAGGTTGATATGTTGAGCGAATACTAATACGTAAGACCTATGTTGGTATTTTTAATGATTACAACCTATTTTTTCTCCAAGTGTTGTATTTTATACGTGTGCACAAATGACTAAGGACAAAATCATTAAAAATCTCCATAAAATCGTCTTCAAAGTATAAACAAATAGTTTATAAAAGAATATCTACAAAGAATAAAACGAACAAAAAATCTCATATGCGGGGTCACTCTGCTAGTTATAATTATTTAAGGTAGGTCACAAATTTAATAATATATTATTTGTTATATATATAAAAAAAATAGGTGGGTAGGTGACACATTGGTTATATGTATAGTCGCCATTGATTATTGATTCAGAAGCCATTAAAAAGTTAACTCCCTCTTCGACAAATATGAAATAGAGCAAATTACAAATGGTCCCTATGGTTTAGGGTAATTTATGTGCTTGATTCTTAACTTATTTTTTTAACTCGGAAGATCCCTACTGGTTGTTTTTGTTACTTGTTTGATCCCTATTTCACCTAAAAAGACTATTTTGCTCTTGATTTTTTAACTTATTTAAATAAACACACCCACAACCCCAACCCTCTCGCATTATCCTACCTACCATGTCATTGTTCCTTATTTAAATAATAGTCTTTTTAGGTAAGACAGGGACCAAGTGTGAAACAAAAACAAAAAATAATGATCAAACGCGTAACAAAAACAAACATTAGGGACCTTCCGAGTTAAAAAAATAATTTAGGGACCAAATGTGCAAATTATCCCAAACTATAGGGACTATTCATGTAATTTACTCTATGAAATAAGATAGATGATTATCAATTTCGTAACTTGACAATTATAAAACTTACTCAATTTCAAAATTATCTTATAAATTACAAAATTATTAAAAATAAATCGTTAAATTATTTTATTTGAATTTTTTTCCTAAAAAAAGTATATTTTTTAATTTTTAAATTTGAAAGCTAAAAAGGTTTTTTTGATAGGTTTTATAATTAGAGTATAGTCTTTTAATTCCAACCACTCAGTAAACCTATGCCTTCAATTTTTAGTGAAGAGAGCACTTTGTAAACCTTTACATAATTTGAAAAAGTTTTTTTTTTTTGATAGGTTTTATAATTAGAGTATAGTCTTATAACATTAACTATTAATTAATTAAATATTAACTACTCTTTAACTAGCTAATCATAGATATACAAAATAAAACTAAATATATTTTATACTCTTTCTAGCTACACCTTACTTAGTTGGATAGCATTTTGTTTATTAATAATCATTTCCCATTTCCAAAAAAAATCACAAAATTAGTAATTGTGAAAACAACACACATATATAAAATACATTGCAGTCATATAACATTTTATTTAAATATTTATACCCAGTAACACTTATCGAAACATCTAGTATTAAAACACGACGTCGTTAAAAACAACAAACCAAATGAGATTAATGAGAACTTCATACAACATTCTTGATACACAGAAGATTAAACTAGTTAATTTAAAAGAGCAGAAAAAAAACCATTTAATAATTGGTTACATATAGTAAAATAACAATAAGATTTTACCAATTAAAAGATACATAATAAATAACCAAAAACACATCAATTCCACTGTAACAATCTAACAAAAAGGGATAAACCAAAAGTCCAAAAAAGAAAAGAAGCAAGCATATAAGTCTGTAAGTATTCAGACATCAGACATAGGTATCAATCAAAGACTTCCTCATTTCATCAACAATAGCACTCGGTTGAGCTTCTCTCAGCTTAAACACACTCTCAATCACCGACAGTTCCGTAGCCGTGGTGTCCGAACCGCAGAACGCGGTCCAGTCGTTCACGGTTAACCCGGCGGCAATCACTTCACTGCCACGGTTAACCGTGCCAGCCACCAACGGGACTTGAAGAAGAGTCGAAAGCTCATCCAAGTCTTCAATGGAAGTATGAGGGTGCACCTAAAATAACACAAATCATTCCTTCTTTTTTAAATATTTAATATTTTTTAATAATAAAAAAATTGAAAGTAGGATGATATAATTGAAGTATCTTCTTACCAAGCCGCCTCTGTTGGAAAACGCGCAGTAGCTGCCAACGAGGATGTTTCCGGCGATTGTTTGGCGGAAAACTTCGACACCGAGAACATCGGCGATCATTTCTTCGGTTTCCTATTGAATTGAAGAAATGAATTTTATTAAGGAAGTAGAAATTGAAGATATAAAATTTGAAGAAGTTATGGATGTTTATTGTTTACTCTGTCGAGATCAGTGTGGACAAGGGCAACATGGTCATTGCACGCTATGCAATTTCCAAGGGCGGATAGTCTTTCGTCAATGCGTTGGACAACAACCGCATCGGGTAGACTGTTCCTCAAGTGTTGAAGCTCTAAGAATTTAAAAAAAAAACAAGTTGTATCACAAAAATGATTGAATACTTATTTGCTTATGCATATAATTTTATTTAGAGTAAATTATAGAAGGTTTGTCAAAAAAAATTATGGAGCATTTTTCATCCACATAGTTTCATCTTGTTGCATCCACCGCCCTAATCAATGTAAAATGACTGTTTTGCCCTTATCTGACCATCTTTGTTGTTTGAATATGAAGAAAGTGGGATACACATTTTTAGAAAAAATAATAATAAAGCAAAAGTTAGGAAAGATGATAAAGGGTAAAATGGTCATTTTACACCGATTGGAAACAATGGATGCAAGAAAATGAAACCGAAAGGACAAAAAAGGTTAAAATTTGTAGCAGGGGGGCAATCAATAATTTTTGACAAAAAACAGGGACGATTTATGTAATTTAAGCTAAATGCTATAAAAGGTTGAGACTTGAGAGTTGAATAAGCTTACCTTGGTCAGTAGTAGTATGGGGTAAAAGAAGCCCGTTTTTGTTACCTAGAATAAAAAAAAAAAATCAAGAATCAGTGTTTGAAACGGAATGAGGAAAGTTCTAGAAGCTTCCGGAAGTATTTACCAATGCAGAGCCTTCCAATTATTCTTGTGCCACCAATGGAGGTCTTAACCACAGGAATAACATCTGCTAACTCAGATTCAAATGTGCTGCAAAACAAACATTCATTCAACTTATTGAAATATGGCTATTTGCAATGATGAGTATGAGGAGGGTATTATCGTCTTTTAACCAATCAAAATAACAAACCTGTAAAAGTTTTCAGACCCTCCAATTGCTACCAAGCAATAAGCATTTGTTAATTTTGAGAACACCCCAATTTCACATGAGTTCTCAAACTGAAGTCCTGTGAACAGATAAAGAAAAAAAAAACAAAGGCTTTCTCTTATCAGTGTAATTTTCAAAGAATAAAATTATCACACACTTTTTTTGGACTAAAAGCAAGAAAAAGGCAACATACTTTCATTTATCGGTGTACTATAGAGAAAATTGAAAGCAAAATGTTATAATAAATAAATCAATGAAAGTATGTTGCTTATAACCAAAGAAACAACAAATAACAGTTAATTACACAAGTAACTTAATTGACAAAAGTGGAAAAAGCAATTAACTTACTTGTGGCCATCTGAATAACAGCAGATGGAAATTTGCTTAGAAAGAAGAAGTATCTGTGAAACATATAAAATATTCACATATTTATGTATTAAAAAGCCATAAAAGCTATTAGAAAACTGGTAAAGAGTAAAGACATTCAACAATACATCAAAAACAATAACTTTAAACAATTGATGCAAAATAGTGAAAAAAAAAAAAAAAAAAAAAAAAGATGATAAAAATTCAAACACCTAGCTAATCCAAAAATATTCAATTCTGGATAAATTTCAACATTTGGAAACAAGAAAATATGAATAAATTATAAAATCTGAATCCATGAGAACCACTAATTTGCTTCAAAAAATATGAACTAAACCAAAGACCTTTTGAATGGGCATAGAGTTATGCAGCAAACCTATTTAGTATTTATACACAAAGTTCTCCCAAAAGCGCAAAAGCACACAAATTCGCAGCTGTTTATCTATTCTTTACAAACTAATTACATGACTGTTTGTTTGTAAGCTTGAATTACTCGGTTTAAAACATATAAAACAGCCAATAACTAAATAATCGCAAGCGAAATACAGGTCTGCATACCTGGATATACGATTGAGATGGAGAAAGCTGAAGGTTGTATTGAAAAATTCAGCGAGAAATCAGTATGGGGCTGGGTTTCAATTTGTGCGTCTCCAATTAGGGTTTTGGTATTTAGGGTTTTAACCGAAACGAATATAGTAATGCTTGTTGGGAGTTTATATACCACCGCCTATATGTGTTTTTCGGTTTGGTTCGCTAATAAACTTGTGTTAGAATGAATCCGGAAAATAAAAAATATATAATTTAAATTTTAAAAAGAAACAATAAAGTCACGTTTATGGCTCATAGGGTCATTAAACTTAAAATTATTAAACTTAAAATTTATATAGGAAAATGTCACTCTAGTATAATAAACTTATGTGTTTTATCCGATTTTATGTTTTTTGTTTTTGTACAATCGGTCATCTAATTGTTACTATGCATGTCAATTAAGTCTTTATTGTTAGTTTTTAATCATTCATCCGTTAGTCAGTTTTCTAAATTACAAGAATGACCCTTTGTTTTAAATTTTTTTCGTAGTTGGTCGTTATCAGCCATCTTTCAAATCACATGATTGAAACTACTACAATTCTGAAACTCCGAGGATCAAAGTGTAACATTGTCATTGTCATCCCTAAATTCTTTCGTATCCCAACTTACTCACGCTCCTTCACAATCGATCAAATATGTTGAATCTAATAAATTCATTGTTGTTCATAATTTGTTGGTATTAACTTATTTTTGATACTTACATTTTCTTACTTGAACCTCATGAAATTCTCAAAAACCCTACCCCCAAATCGCTAAAGAGACCAGTTGTTTACATGAGGTGTTACATCTTGAAGATCTACGGGAACTTGAAGGATCAAATCGTCGAAATCCTGCTACCTGATTTCGACTTCAATCATACGGTCGAAAGGAGATTGAGTTCGGTTTCAGGTCTCGTCGTTTAGGTTTACCAGTTGATGGGGCAAGCTTTACTTGTGTTCTTAAAATATGCGGAAGCTTATGGGATCAAATAATAGGCAAACATATATATATATATATATATATATATATATATATATATATATATATATATATATATATATATATATATAACTGAATCGATTTCAATGGCTGAGAAGGTATTCGATGAAATGCCTGACCAAAATGTGGTGTCTTGGACTTCAATGCTTACAGGGTATTCATTAAAAGGGATACACGATCAAGCTATAAACCTTTTCTACAAACGAAAACATAAGGAATTAAACATAACTCATTCACATTTGCTATTGTTCTTGGAGCTTTGGTTGATAATGGTGCAGTTGTGAAAAGGAATGCAGGTTCATACCATGGTTGTCAAATTTGGCTTTGACCTAACTACATACGTGTGTAATTCTTTGATTAGTATGTATTCAAAATCAGGAATGATCAGATGTACAAGATCCGTGTTTGATTATATGGAAGTTAGAGATGTAGTTTCATGGAATGGAATGATAGCAATTCTTGTAACTGTAATGCCCGTAGATCCGGGCTAGTCACTTTAGAGACAATAAGCATCAAAAATGACTTTTTGATAGAACATTATCTAGACTAAATAATCTTAACCAAGTTATAGTATATGTCACAAAGGTTCTGTAGATATAAATAACGCTGAAATCCGAGTTATAACAAAAAAGTTATGACCCATCGAAGTTTTACGGCAAAACCGACGCGACACCGGGAATTGTAAAAAAATGAATTTACGACAAAATAATTTCTAGACTTAGAAATCTAGAAGAAATCCGTAGTATATGTTAAACTGAGAGCGTTCATAAAAAGAACGTCTAAATCTGACTTCGTATGAGGAAGTTATGATTTTCTCTAAGATTTAGCATAATAGTGCACAGCCCGAAATTCGAATTTTAGATCGGTCGATTTTCAGCCAAAATAATCTAAACGTTAAATGAAGATATCGTTAATAGGAGTTAAACGATAAAAAGAAAGATGAAAACAGAGCTCGTATGCGAAAGATATGGACGAAGCTTAGTCTCTACTCTTTGAGTGCAGCAAATTCAATACAATTATGTAATTCCGAGATAGAATGAGAATTAGTCAATGGTGTCTAAATGAAAGTTGTAGTACTCATAAATACCAACATGTGGATATAAATAACGTCGAAAACGAAGCTCGTATGCGAAAGATATGATCGAAGCTTAGTCTCTACTTTTCGAGCGCGGCGAATTCGAATACAGTTTTATAAATCTGAGATACAATGAGAATTAGCCGACGGGGTCTAAATGAAAGTTGTAGTACTTGTAAATACCAACGTGTGGATATAAATAACGTAGAAAACGGAGCTTGTACGTGGAAGATACAGACGAAGCTTAGAGACTACTCTACGATAAAATCCTTATAAATAAAGGATGAATCCTTCATATTTTCTTCACACCATAACCTCTCTTTCTCTCTCTAACTTCTCTCTAGCCTCCTTAAACCCCTCCCAAGTATATGGAACCTCCCTAGCACGAGAAGGAATCCCCGGAGCACCCGACGGCTCCGAGAAGAAAAGCTTTCGGTTCGGAAAAGTTGCTCCAGTGAAGCCCGTTTTTTTTTTTTAATAAAAACTCGTTGTAAATGAGCTATGCCTACACTATTTCTAATATAGCTTTTATTTAAAATATAGTAATGTTATTAGGACCTTATAATAACTATTTGGGCTATTTTTATGAGTTATATAAGTTTCGTTATAATATATTTTTAACCACTCACGGTACGGGAAATATGGTTTAAAGGGTCGCATAGGGTTGTTGGATTTTAGAAGTGCTATATGTCAAAATGGTCCTACCTTCCGGTGTTTTATGTCTGGCCCCTGTCTGTACATAGTTGTTGGAAAATATTATTTAAACGCTTATAATAATAATAATAATAATAATAATAATAATAATAATTAGTCACAGTAAATATTAGACTAAAATCTAGTGGTAATAATACTAGGTTTCGTCGAAGGAAATTATATTGTTAAGAAGCGAAGCGTTGTCCGAGTTTGTAATCATCACATTAACAAGTGAATGCATAGTTACTTTCGCTTACACATATATATATGAAGTATTTTATATAAATTACGTATCATGTGTGCATATTATCTGGATACTTGCTGTTTATGCTAGATGAATGATTTTATACATGTTTTAAATGATTTAAACTATATATTTATTTTATATCTACAAATATGTTGGGATAAAACATGGGTAGATGAAATAGTTGATGTGTGATGAAATAAAATGATGAGAGATATGTGATGATAATTAGGTGAGGATAAATAGGTGATGATGAATCGGTGATGTAGGATGAAAGATACTGTAACCTTGTCCGACAATTTGGAGATGTAGTCATTTACTAGAGTATAGATGGCGGCCACGGACTATTATAGACAACCCCGTGGAAACACAAGCAGGCTCATAACCTGTAGGTGATGAATTACGAGTGTAGGCGATGTTGTAACTACGTATTCATGCGATGATACTCTAACCCCTTACTATGAATTACGAGTTCAGGCGATGTTCTAACTACGTATTCATGCGATGATACCATAACCCTTGTTGGGCACATATTGAGGGAGTAATCCCTGTATCAATATTGTCTATGCGATGTAGGCGATGATCCTTAGGGAGAGTCTTTAGGAACAAACATATAAGGAAATGTGATGTAAGGAGATGAGAGGTAAATATGATATAGGAGACGACCCTTAGGATAAATCCTTAGGGAAGGTACTTAGGAATAAAGAAGATAATGGAGATTGGTAATTGAGTTAATTGTTTGATGATTAAACATAATAATTATATTATTGTGGGTTTTAAATCCTATGTACTCACCAGGTTTCCAAACTTGACCCACTCAGTTTACTTTGTATCACAGGTGACGACGTGAAGTTACATTACACTGAGAGATTAATGAGATGTAGATCACTAGTGTAAATGAATGTAAGTTCTGTTTATGCTTATGTTTCTGTATTGACGATGACATCCCAAATGTTTCAAAAGGAATAAAAATACATTTCTTCAGAATTGTTTTGATAATGAAATTATCATGTTTTTCTGGGAACAAATTCCGCAACGTTTTTATTGAAAGATATACTCTGATTTTTATAAAGCGTAAACAAAATCGGTCTTTTCTGACCATAAAAATGAGGATGTCATGATAACAAATGGACAAGATTTACTTTCCCTTGATCTCTTCCATAAAATGAGACTTTTATGGGTAAAACTCACACAACCCATCTTTTTAACAATACTAAAAGTGTGTGCCAACATCAAAGAAAAGTTTGCCTATTATTGGTTTGGTGCTTATAGAATCCAATGGTATGCTTCATGTTTCAACCAGATTTAATGGGGAGAATATTATCAATGTTACACTTTGGTCCCCAGAGTTTCAAAATTGTGGTAGTTTCAGTTGTGTGATTTAAAACACGGCTGGTAATGACCAACTACGAAAGAAATTTAAAACGTAGGGGTCATTCGTGTAGTTTAAAAAACTAGTTAACAGATGAATGGTTAAAAAAGAACGATACTGGTTTAATTGACATATAAAATAACACTAAGATTACCTATTGCACAAAAAAAACATAATTGGTCAAGTCAGATAAAACACATAAGTTCATCGAGCCACAATGATATTTTCTTAACTTATACGTTTATTAAGCCAATTTTTGTTAGTTTTTGACATATCTCACATTAACTAGTTATTCTGAATTACACAAATGGTCTATATGACTTTTTTTTTGCGCATTAAGTCACTTTCGTACGGCTCTCCCCTCCGTCGTCTGCCACCAGTGACGCCGCCTCATCTACACACCTTACTTCCCTCCCCTTTTAACTCTTTATGCCATTGTTCCCAATTATAATGACTAAAGCCTCTCGGATTTCATCACTTTCTTCACCTTTATCATGTATCCTCTAAATGGATAACCTTACCACCTCTTACAATCGACCTACCACCTCGTTTCCTTCACCGCCATCCATTGTTCGTTTCCTGAAAGGTCACGATACAATCTTTATCCGTCTCCGACCAACTAGTACCCATTCCATCCACCAACCATAACTTCCTCGTGACGTTATATCATTCATTGGTTTTCAACCCTCTTGCTGGAGAACGATTTTTCGCCCCTCCACTGACTAACAATCACCATTAGTGCACCATCGGGTGTATTCGTAACACGATCTATGTGGCTAGCAATGTTGGGGGCACTGCTATGATGACGTATGTGGGAAGGATGATGGATATGTAGGATATGGGGAGGTGGAGGGAGGAGTACGGTGGGAGGAGTGGTAGGACTTAAAGATGTAAGATTTTGTAAAGAAATGGTGAAATACGAAATATGTTCCCAAAACGAAATATGATAAAAACTTGTATAGCATTCTCATTCAATACATATTCCAATCAATAGATGAGACACATACACATAACATCTATTTCATAGAGAATAAATCATATCTATGAGATATAAGAAATTAAATATACATTTACACATGTAACAACAAAATATACACATAACACGTATTTTGCATAAAATACTTCATAATTATGCGTTAGAAGAAGGTAACTACACACTCACCTGATCAGAAGATGATTGGACAACACTACGACTCTAAGAGTAGTATTCTTCGGTAGATCTGGAAGATCTTCACAAAAACCGGGCTCCTCACGGGCAGAGCTTCGGCTCGGGACTCTCACTTATTGGGATCTTCGGGGCTTCGGGACTTGCTTCGGGTCTCGGGATGATACCGGGGCTTCAGGGGTACTTCTTTGCACGTAAATTGAGGTAATATGAGTGAGAGGAGAGAATTTGAGCAACCAAACTCGGTTAGCCCTTCAAATTTATTTATCGGGAAAATTTTGCCTTTGCCATGTCGTGCTACGGTTTACCACATCGTGGTGGCTGGGTCGT